AACAATAAACCGAAGATGTTGAAGAATGTCAGAAACAGAAAGAGTGTCAGGTCCCGTATCCGTAGTCCATTCCCCTGCACGGGGTCCACGGACCAGCATACGAAGAGCAACACCCGATGAGCGTGTCTGTGTATGCTGCCGTACCTGTGCAAGAGCGTAGGCATGCGCCTCATCAACGGCATTAGCAACATTGTCAAGAATTCGTTGATGAGAAAGATTAGTATAACTAGTAGTGAAATCAACTGTATGCGGGGCCAGACCTCTAAGTGACCTCGTCACTGCTCTGAACAATCCAACATCGTCGAATACCTATATATATATATATATATATATATATATATCGTCACAAACAGAACTGCCCGGTAAACCGTAGGCAGAGAGAGAGAAGAGGACAACAAACGAGGGGCTGTATATATATATAAATTTAAAACTACTCCCTCTTCTCCGGCTCTTCATCTGTTTAGGAATACAACAACAAAGAAAACAAACGCCTGACCTGCTTGCCGGCCACTATATTCCTGTTCTGTTTATCCCCTATACCGTCTTCCGCCGAACATAACGCACCCTGATAACGAGTGTATATAAGCCATATTTCCGATCAGGTACAGCCAAAACGAGGGTGCGTTGTATTCGGGGAAAGACGGTGGTCTCATCTTCCCTAAAAGAACTCACACACTGCCAAAATGAGTGTTCTCCGAAGAATCGTTGACATTGCAAGGAATCTTCTGAAAGCACGGAAAGAATGGACGCGCACGAAAACTACACAGCATGATCTGCACTGCTCGGTAAATAACAAAGAACGGCGACCATAAAATCTTGCAGACGTTGGTCAAAATCCACACCCGCCGCATTTCCCCCCCCCAAAAACACAAAAAATGGCATCCTTAACCCCTGATCGACCCCTAATAAACACTACCTATTTCTTCTTCTTCTTCACCTCCTCCTCCCTCCTCTGAGCTCTGCTGTATACGATTATCTGCAGCAGAAGGATGCCATTTGTAATGATTCCGAAAACGGATCCCATAACCATGCTGATGGGTCCCTTCTCTTGAATCGTTGTGAATGTTCGCACTAGGCAGCCGCCAGTGTTCATAAAGCTTGTCAAAAAGCTTAATTGCCCCGTGCTCTTGGAGTTATAGTTCTCCCAGATTTGCGGCAGCCGAGAGCCGATGAAAATCACATGCGAGGAAGCATAAAGAATCTCAAAGGAGACCGGATCGAGTCTTCCCGCCAAAATCGTTGGTGCAATCAACGAATAGAGAGCTCCCTTCACAATCGTGCTTGGCGGGAGGCTAGGCAAGTAACTGTAGATAAGTACGTTAAGCCCAAGGGCTTGTATAAGAAGGAACACCAACTCCCCATACGCACTGAAGGGTAGATTCTTTGTCAATATATACGACAGAGCTATGGTGAACCCCACTGTCTCCAGCTCAAAAGACGCAACACTCAGTCCCTTAATGCTGTTGTTTCTCAAAATAACGAGTATCTGTGGGAGCTTCACCACGGCGGAGAATACAACTATCATATACCCTAGAAGTTTGCTCAGAGCATTCAAATAACACTCTGTCTCAGTCATTTGCATCTGCCGGAGTGAATCGATCACGCACTTGAAGTCATCCATCTTCACAACCTGTGGGAATTCCTCTCTTCTCTCTTCTCTCTTCTCTCTTCTTTCCTCCCTAACCTTGCTTTCCTTATTGCTCTCGCTATCCTACCCTGCACGCCTTCTCCATTACTTCCTTTGGTTGTCCTATCACTCGCCAGTCGAAGAGATCATCCGAATGGGTCGCCTATCTATCTCTTCTTTACCCATAGAACATACAGGAAGTGTTTGTGGGAACGTCCTTCCGCCTCTCTTTCGCTCTCCTCTCTTTCTTCCTCTCCTTTCACCTTCCCCGTCTCTCCTCCCTACTTTCCAATCCGCTCTTGGGCCAGGAAAATGCGAGAGACATCGTATTTACACACAGAAAAAAAAATCCATACAGTGTATCTCCTGCAGCACGTCGTCTCGCACCACACCGCAGCACGTCGTCTTGCGCGGCACTGTCACCTGTCCATGACATGCATCTCGATCAAAGAATACCCACCGCTACAGGCAACCAAGTCGACATCACTCAAGTGATGATAACAAGTGAAGGCATGCTCACACAATGATGCCCCTCACTTGGTCGCCTGACAATGGCCAGACACGTGTGTGTCAGATTCATCCGTGCCTGGCCATAATGGCAGTCAGATGCACATACACATATTATGCCTTGATCAGTCGAAGGGCGCGACACACCCACCGCCCCACCACCCGTCAGCAGGCGAGCAGGCAGACCCGCACCGAGGCGATGCCGATGGTCCGGCACGCCGGAGTGCATATCGAGGGCAGGTTGGTCGGCCCGGACTGGTGGAAACGACCCGCAGAAGTCGTCGATCCACAGGACCGAACAGCGCCGCCCTCGCGACCGTGGCTCGGGTCCCACTACAGTACAGACGCTGAGTAGTTGGTGGCAATGGGCTATGGCAGTGGGCGATGACGACGAATTCCAAGCGTTCGTTGTGAATCGGACGCCCGTCGCGTCAGCCCGCCTGAATGGATGGTCCAGCTTCCGATTTGGGAACTTTTCATTGGACCGCAGTGTGGGGGGGAATGCGGGAATACTGCGGTGTCAAAAGAAACGAAAAAGGGGTTCCCCGTATAATACTATAATGATAATAATGATAATAATGATAATAATGATAATAATGATAATAATGATAATAAAAAGGCCTGAAATGCCGTCCTGAGTTGGCTACCTTCTTCCCCCTAATACAATGCACGGTCATTATAGCTCTATTTGGGGCATCTCTAAGTCTAAACACATCTATAATGACCGGGGGAAGAAGGGTAGGCACGCAAGTGTGGCCTTCAGGAGGTTGTGAGTGCGCACTTAGGGCCAAGTCCCACTTACCCTAATTCTTCATTTGTGACCCTAGATTACCAAGATGAAAGGCCGGAAATGAAGAATCCAAGGTAATGGGACTCGGCCCTTTGTCCCAACCAACTGTGATAGTCCGCTTGATACCCCTGATCGGTATTAGTAGGTCTATGACCAACATGGGTGTGAGTGTGACCGTCAGTGGGAAAGTATTGGCCATCGCCACTGGGGGGGGTGGGAGAAATAGATGAAAGGCACAGCTACTGGCAAAATGCTCGGTCTTTGAGTTAGCCGGCTCCACCCACTGGTGGCCGCACCCTACTCCCTGACCACCACCTATTAGGGTGGGGCGCAACATGCATCCCGTTGTGAGAGGTAGCCATGCTTGCAGGGGTCCCTTGTATAGGTTAAGAGTACTAGTAGCTAGATACTAAAAGGTGAAAATGAGAGAAGAACATAGCTTAGTTTAAATAGAGGAGAGGGAGGAGGGGCGGGGTTAGAAATGGGGAAAAACAAAACGAACTTTTTTTTTTTTTTTTTTTTTTTTTTTTTKCAAATTCAAATCCATTCCAAAATTTCATCAGAGGTCGGGGGACCCCTACATTACTCCCGGATGCAAAGTGCTGGAAGCATCATCCAGCTTAGCTTACAGGCTATGCCTACGTCTAAAACTGCGTCTACTGCCTAAAGTGATTATAGTAAAAACGCCTCTTAGCTGTACTGGTCTAAATTCGACTAGTGGAATTGTAGTTCCAAGAGGCTAAGAATTTCTTTTTTCTACTTACCTTCCTAAAAGCCTAAAAGGAGGAGGCACTAAGTCGGGCCCTGGAGCCTACCTCAACTCCCCCTAACTTTCACACTCCCTCCAAACCTACATACCTTCCAACTACTACCATCCTTCCGCAGATATTTGGACCGAGTGTGCAGGTCTGCGAACAGTTAGGACCTACTGTCGACCCTTTATACTCTGTCAGCTGACCCTAAATCGGGTCCATCAATGTCTGATGCTCCTACCCACCCCACATCCTTCCAGTTGCTGCCCTTCTACTGTGAAGATCAAGATCGAGCATCCAGGTCCTTCCTAAAGGCTACTTAACCATTCTCCCATCAGTAACTTCCCTTCCTTAACTACTGCCAATTCTTCACTTTTGGCCCACTTGTCCAGGAACCAGGCCATACCTCTGAGGTTGTTGGGTGATTTAGACACTTTCCTTCGCCAGTCACTTTGCACTTCCAAGCTAATCAATTTTTTAATCCTGCTTTTCAACGCTTGGTCCGAGGTGAACTTGTTCTTTAACACAATATTGTTCCTCTCTTCCCATATGACTGCGAAGATGACCGATCTGCAAACATGTGCCATGTAACACCATCCCAAAAAGAATCCAGTCATCATCCCATGTCAGATTATCCCTGCTCAGTCTGGTCCACTGAGACTGCCACCAAACCCAAATGCACCTTGATAAAGGGCACGAGAGCCACAGATGTATTGTAGACTCAAATGACCACTTACATCGTTTACAAATTAGTGCTATATTCAGTCCTCTGCTTTGTAACCAGACAGCTGACAAGGTAACAACCAGGGTCAGGAGCCAGAGGATAGAGGCCGTATATTGTGACAGAATTTGCAGAATCGCCTCCCGCAGAATCGGAAGGATCTCCACAATCTCCTCTGACGGCGTTTCCACTACCTGGGTCCAGCGCTGTGCTGCAATCACCACTGGGGGGGAGAACACTTGCAGTTCTTTATAACCTCTCTGAGTGGTGTATTCAGAAAGCCATCTCTCTGGGTTTTGTCACCTCCACATTGTCGGATCTAGTCTGAGCTTTCTGATGGGGGCACCATTCTTCCAGATATAGCAGGACAAGGAACCATCCTCGTCACAAGATTCTATGACTCTCATCTCTGTGAGTTGACCCAATGATTGTGGAGCGATTACGCCGACCGACTCATTTTTCCCCTTCTCTACTTTAAAGAGTTCAAAGCTTGTTTGGTTGAGTTGTTCCCATTGCTGGAAAGTTCTCGTGCCATCTGTGTCCTTACCAATCAATTTCTAATACAAGTTTTGCCTCTCTGAGTCATGCGAACTATACCATGTTCCCACTGGGTTGAAGTTCAACCTATGTTTCCAGTCCACTGGGATGACTTTAATTAATCCGTGAAGTCTGTCTTCCACATCTCTCAGCCCTCTTATCTTTTCTCTTAACTCAGTAGCAGATAACTAGCGGCCACAAATTTTGTCCCAGATATCCGACACCCGGAGAACACCTCGTTGTATTCAGCTCCAACCAAAGGCTCCTGAACCTATTCCGGTTGAGAAGGGTATGCAACTACCATTTCGTCAAAATGGACATTTTTTATTTTTTGAATGAAATTGAAACTGAGTTTTTTCAACTTTTTGTCTGAAAACTCGTCTAAATTTTGCTGCTCCTGCGGGTCCGGCGTTTTTAAAACGCCGGATCCCTTGGATGTATCAGGACTAAGCTTGAGACCAGATACACCAACGCGGTCCCTCCTAGATGTATCTGGTCTCAAGATTAGTCCTCATACATCCAAGGGGTCCGGTGTTTTAAAAACATCGGACCCCCAGGAGCAACAAAATTTAGACAAGTTTTCGGTCAAAAATGTTGGAAAAACTCAGTTTCAATTTCGTTCAAGAAAAAAAAAATGTCAATTTTGACGAAATGGTAGTTATGCCACTAAGGTCCATGATGAAAGGGTTGTCAAAGATGGGTTGGTTCGGGACCTCCTCTTTGGTGGTTGGTTCGAACCAGCGTTTTGGCTTGACTTGTCTCCATGTAGAAAGCACTCCGTGCCAAAAAGGAGACTTGATTTGTCGACGTAAGTAAGAGTCCAACATGCAGCATGTCCACATGTCCTCCATTCTTGGTAAGTCTCATTCCTCAGACAGGATAACTTTCGCCATGACGATCCAGTGGTCATCGTGGCTCGTTGAGATTACCTTAATAATCCACTGGGCCAGCAAGGCTAAGTTCTGTTTGCCTGGGTCCAACATTCCCAGACCACCTTTTTCTCTGCTGTGATAGATTGTGTCTCATGCTACCTTTGATATGAAGCCGCCATCCAGCTTCCCAAACGGCTTTCATAAGAATCTTGCTGCAGCATTTCTCACGGATTTTAAAAGTTGTTTGTTGAGCAGTTTAACTCTTCCGACAAACCATAGTAATGAGAACAGGGCGACGTTCAAGACCATGGCTCTTCCGAATAATGATAAGTGCGGGGCTGCGGCCCAGCTGGAGATTCGCTGGATAACTTTTCCTTACAGTTACCCAGGGCAACTTGTATTCCTAAACACCTTTCCGACGAGCCTTCTGAGATTCTCTGCATACCGAATTCCACTGCAGGAGCGTACTGAGCAGGCATAAAGAAAATAGATTTGTTCCAGTTTACTGCTGCCTCCGATTGATGAGAATACTCTACCAAGCAGCTCTTGAGACCTTCCAGGGAACTTTGGGAATTTTCTTACATCGCGAGTAGGTCGTCCACCAACGCCCTAACTTTGCATTCCGTATTCTGCACTTTCAGACCCTGGATGTCTGAATGACTTCTTACATTATTGAGAAACACCTCTAGTTGGAGGACAAAAAGTAGGGGAGCAAGTGGACAACCATGACGGGGTGATCTAGAGAGAGAGAAGGGCTCTGAAATTTGGTCGTTGATCATGACCGAAGCTTTGGAGGGCCCATACATATCAACTACCCAACTCCTAAACTTGGGGCGAAAACCTAGGTGTTTGAGCGTTGTTAGCACGTACGCCCAGTTCACTCGATCATAGGCTTTTTCCAAATCTAGAAAAAGGACAACCACGTCTTGATTCTCTCTTTGCATTAGCTCTAAGGTTTCCATGGCTATAACAATGTTATCAAAAATAAATCTACCTCTGACAAAAGCTACTTGGTCTCTTCCCACTAGTTCTGGCAGCACTTGGGTCAACCTTCTTGCAATAACTTTGGTTAGTATCTTATAGGATACACTGAGAAGAGAGATCGGTCTTCAATTTTTTATATCTTCCTTATTGCCCTTCTTGTATATCACCGAGATGATACCGTAACACATGTTCGTGGAGAGAGATCCCCCCGTCAGTACCTCATTGTAGATTTCCAATAGATGGGGAGCGAGTAGCTTCCAGTGTTCCGTGTAAAACTTTATCGGTAAATACTCGCTTCTTGGTGCTTTTCCTTTTGCCACAGAGTCCGCCGTTACTCGTAGTTTGACCTTGGTGATGGGGTTATCCAGGTTGTTGCTGTCCATATTGTTGAGTCTGATAGCCATGTGGTTCCAATGAGTTGAACTGGCGACAAGGTCGAGTTGTGGGTCTTCTCCTATCCTCATTGGAACCGGCTTGAGGTCTCTAAAGTACAAGACAACATATTCACACATCCCTGCGCTCTAAAGTACAAGACAACATAAAGTACAAGACAACATATTCACACATCCCTGCGCTCGTCTATGCCGTGTTCGCAACAAACAAGAATGGGTGTTGTAAGGCTTTCATACCTTGCGTTGTACATCTCG